ATTTTGTACTTTGCATTTACGGATGGGTTTTTAAAACTCCGGTGATGGTTCTGGTGGCTGTTTGGCTGAAGATGGAGATGGCCTCGCTTGAGTCTTGGTATGAGCTGGCTGATGGCCACAACCTCTTGAGCGTGGAGAAGAGCAGACCCGTCCTCTGCTCAGCCCAGCTGACGCTCCACGCAGCGGTACGGACGGCAGAGTGGGCTGAAGCGTTCCTGGGAGGAGGATTGTGGTCCTGGCTCAGAGGTTTCCAGTGTTTGCAGGGTGCAGGATGGAGCAGGGAGAGACAGGAGGCTTCTGGGTGGTGTTCAGGGCTGAACAGGGGCTCCGCCAGCCCCTCACTGGCACTGCAAAACTACGCAGCCAGTTGAAATCCAGGTTATTTGCAGCAGCACAGCCTATACCCAGCGGGACGGTGAAATGTCTGCCCTGCCCCAGCAGCCAGCAGAAGCAGCAATTAAACCTGTATTAATCACTAGAGATGGAAGGAGTAACGTCCACTTAATTGAACGTAAAGAAGGCTGCAGTTCCCTGGGGAGGCTCTGGGGCGATCGATCGCAGCAGGTAGCTGGAAGATGCGCGTTGCTCCATGGCGGGGGTGGGACTGCGGCCGCGCCGAGTCCGTGGGGCTCCGGCGTGAGCTGCCGGCAGGGTGGGCAGGCACCGGCTCTCTGCTTGTCTCTTCTGGCCGTGGCACTGAGGGAAATAGTCTCACGACTGTCGTAATGTGCTCAGAGATCTGTGGGCGATGGTGAGGTGGTCTGCCCCGGGCTCGCTGCTGCCCTGGGCTGCCAGAAGCGGGGCAGGGAAGGGCAGAGGCAGCTCCTCCGTCCCATCCCACCGCAGGCTGGCAGAAACCAGGGTCAGTCCCGGGCAGGGAGCACGCCGGCGTGCGGCTGCCCGAATGAGGGCTCGGGTGGCAGCCGGACACTGGTTAAAAGGGCCGCTGAGCCACGGCTCTCGCCAAGATCAGAGGCACGAGGCCCCGCTGGTGGCTAAGTGCTTCCTGCTTCGGAAAATGAAAGGTCTGCACTTCACCTGATTACGGGCTGGCAGGCAGCCTGCGCCTCTGACAGCGCGTGGCGTGACACGCGAGTGACAGCAGTGGAGGTAAGGAGCTGGTTAAGCTCCCTCCTCGCTACCCGCAAAAAGGCCGGTGCCCAGCTGCCCCGCACGGGCTGCGACGGGCACGGGCAGGCAGCCAGAGGGGAATGGATTTTTGTCTTGTTCTCGGCTTGGGTTTGCTGCTCTGAAGCCGTACCGGAGGCTGGGGAACAGCTCTTTTGCTCACCTGTAGCCTCCCGACAGGGAGATGGGGGTTTGCTGGTGTGTTTGTGCGTGAGCAAGGATGCGTCGGAGCGGGGGCATGAAGTAAAAGGTCCGGTTCTGCGGGGGAGAGGCAGCCAAGGGAGACGAGGCGCTGGGTGGAGCCGTGCGTCCCCCTGTCCCGCGTCCGTGCGCTTGCCGACCCCGCTCCCCTTCTGCGGTCAAGGAGGGGGCCGTGGCCCCGCCGGCAGGGCTGCGACCTTCCCACAGCGTCACTGGGGCGGGGGAAAGCCTTGCGGGTTTGTTTGTTTGTTTTTTTGCAAGCCAGTATTACGTTCTAAAACAGCCCCTGAAGGAATATCTGAAATAAATACCCTAGAGCCCAGGAAGAGAGGCGGGAAGCACCTCAGAGTGTGTATTTTAATGCTTCGCGTTCCCCTTGGCTGAGCTGTTGCCATGCGTAGAGCTGGCCTGGGCTCAACTCCGGCAGCAGGAGTAGATGAACTCTTCCAGTCTCATAAGGAGAGGTTTAATCCCCAGGGAAATTACATTTGCCCCATAGGAATCCCGGTGGAAGACTGGCAGGGAGCAGAGCGGGGCCGGCAGCGTGCTTTCGGCTTGCTTTCCTGGTTGTGGCTGGCCCGGGGAGGTGTCCGAGGCTGCTGGGCACGAGGCCGTGGTGTCCCCGAAGCAGCCTCTCACCCAGGCCTCCTGGCTTTTAGCGACAGGCTCTGTTAATAAGCCTCGACGTAGGAGTGCAGGAACTGCTACGTAATAACGACGCTGGATGAGAAAAGACAGCGCCTACAAGCAGCCATGCCAATAAGGCGGTGGGTATTAAACCCTTAGAGAAAGGCATCTCTAACTAAAAAATATATAGGGCTGAGACGGTGCTGAGCCGCAAGGGAGGCATCTCAAAATACTTCTTTTAAGCGCAGCCAGCAGTGCCGGTGCACCCGCAGTGCCCAGCAGCGGTTTTCCATCCCCAGTTGGTTCATCCCAGCAGCGCGTGGCGTCTTCTGCAGGCCCCGGGTTGCTGCCTGACCCATGGGGGAGGCTTTCGGCAGCAGCCTGGCTTCGGGACAGCCTGTCCCCCTCCCCGTGCTGCTCCCTGGCGTCTGCCCAGCCCGGCTGCCTGCACCCGCAGCTCTGCCTGCACCCAATCCCTCACACAAAAGAGCAGCAAAGTCAGGGCCTGCCCTTGAGCCCAGCTGGATGCAAACTGAGCTCCGCTGAGCCCTGCCTGGGGAACGGGGCTGCAAACCAGGGGCTGGAGCCAGCGCCGGCCTGGCAGCTGCCCGCCGGCTCCCAGCCAGACCTTCCCACCGCCGCCAGCCCCGAACGGGCAGCGAGGTGGGGACGGCCGCAGGGAAAAGCTGAGCCCAGGGGGTGGGCAATGCCCCTCCGTCGGCGCCGCTGCTAGAAACGCTTATCCAGGCACAGGGACGAAGGGCTTGGGCTCCTGGCTCCCGCCCGCAGGGAAGGGGATGGGGCAGGAGCCGGCCTGCAGAGCCTGATATAAATACACTCATGATTGAATAAACTTTGGCTCCGTAACCAACGCTACAGCCAAAACCTGCGGGGAAGGTGGGGCTTGTGTAACGGCGGCGGCGCTGGAGCTGCGAGAGGGAAGGGAGGGTTCGAGCTTGCGCCGATGCCATTTGCTCGCCCGACGGGAAAGCCAGGACACCGCGCTCCGGCAGCACCATCGAGCTGTGCCAAGGCAGCGCTGACCCGCGGCCGCACGCTGTGCCCAGCCGGGCCCCGGCCTTTGAACTGTGGCAGCTTTGGTGGCTTTGGCCCAGGGACCCGCGACTTGCTCCACGCAGCTGCAAATTTAACCAGAACCACGCTTTTCCTCAGCTTTCTTTAAGAAGATACTGCTCGGAAGTAAGGAAAAGAAGCAGCTGAGCCAGAACCGAGTGTTTCCCACGAACGAGGAGCCTTTCATTTTCCTCCCCTCCAAGGCTGTTACCTGCAGGCTGGGACGACAGCGACTCCCTCCCCAGACCATCGCTGGAGGCAAACCAGACCTGCTCCAAGCCCAGCACGGCAGAAGACAGCCAGGAGCCACCGTGGGTGAGAAGGACTCACAAGAAGCAGCTGTTTCTTTTCCCTGACATGTTTCATCTTTTACAAAAATAAAAAAAAAATAAAAAAATCCATGAAACAAATGCTCGTACAGTGAATAAGCTGTTTTATTTTTGTCCTGTGCTCACACAATCTCTCTTCTTTCCCTGACAGGTCACAGATCATTAAAATAAAGTTTCTAAGAGGAAAATAATTTAAAACATACACACAGGGCTCCCTTCCAACCTCCCCACACCCACATCTCCACCACTTGTGCTTCGTCTCATGCGTAAGTAAAGCCGTTGAATCCCAGGAGGCCGGGATGGGATGAGCCCGCCGGGGTCTCGGCCACTCCGTCTCGCACCGGTCGGGGCCACAGCGAAGGCACCGAGCACCCCGCGACGCGCTCCGAGATCCAACCGCTTTCCCCGTAGCCTGGAAAAACGTGCCCGCGGCCAGACGTCTTCCCTCTCGGCAGCGCTGCGGGCCGCTCCAGGCCTCCCTCCTGCATGACCAGGTTTCTTGAGTTACCACCCCGAGTCTTCCCTCCGACGCGCCGCCCTCACCCCGTACCACATGCACAGGACCGGCTAGGAAAAGCCTTTTTTTTGTTTTTGTTTTTTTTTTTTTAAGCTTTTTCAGTTGCTGGTAAAGTCAGTACACTCCCAGCTGTGCTATATTGGAAATACAGCTTCTAGGATCGTCTCCGTGGTGGAGACCGACAGTGATCAAGGCACTACCCCCACCCCCCTCCTGAAAACAAAGGAAGTCAGACCAACACCTAGGGACAGAAGAGAATCCTATAATGTGATCACACGGTTACACTGAATCTTTATGGCAAAGAGAACATTTAGCAGCTTTGAACGTTTGGGCTTCTCCCTTTTACTCAACACAAGCACTCTAGACCCTATAGGGAAAAACAGGGCTGAAGCCCTAAAAAATCAAAGCGCGGTTAAGAAACAGGAATCCTAACAGCTGTCTAATTTCTATAAGTGACAAGCCCACGGCCTGGGGTGGGAACCCTCCGCTCCCCTTGTGCTGTAACGCTGACCGGGGGGGCCCCAGCGCCCCTCCCCGCCTTCCTCCCCCAGCAGTTCCCCAGCCAGTCAGTGGGAGAAGACAGCGTTTGCATGCAGGCTGCTGCGTGTGCCGTCTCGGCGTCCCAGCACGGCGCTGGCTCGGCGGCAGTGACATGCTCTGAGTGTGGTGGGGGGAGGGGGGGGATAAAACGCGTATCGCACCGGTTGTCTTAACCCTCTCCAGGTCCGCGCACCCCCTCCCCAAAAATCCTAACGCTCTACGTGCCC